TTAGTTATATCAATGACTTAATTTTTCCCTTTTAAAAATAGTTTCAGATGAAAAGCCAGAGCCTTTTTTTATATGGTTGTTTGAATGTTTCTTAAACAAACCAATTCTCTATATTATAAATATATCCAATATAACTCATATTTTTTTTTTGCAGTATTCAGCATAGGACCATCTGTCAATCCATAACTCTAGTTTCTGATAGAACATGGAAAGGTCATTGGAGTTGTTTTTTTATGGCAAACCTGAATGATGAACTTCCATTGGTTCAATTTAGAATCTCTCCAACTACTAAAAACAAACTTTTTGCAAAAAGGATAAAATCTGAACAGAAACAGCTTCATTTATACTACATATTTTTCAAGATGTTTAGAGTTGTGTAAATATGCCCTGTGGAAGATTTCTATTTTCTTGAAAATACAGTTTGACTCCATTATGGAATTATATATAGAGAAAAGATGGCCGTTTAACCTGCACATGTTCATAAATATGCAAGATATGTTTGCAGGAGTGAAATTGTTTCTAAATTAAGCCAAAGATGAAAATGTGACACCAAAATAAAAGTACTTTCCTTGCCAACTTGAATAAGGAAACTAAAAAATCCTCATGCATAGGAAAAAATGAAAAGGAAATGGGCTTTACTTGTACCATTGATTACTCAGCTACCCTGAAGATTAAAGTGAGGAGTCATTTAAAGGAGAAGAATCTCAATGGCTAGATCAGATGAGAGGTTTTAGGAATCCAGTGAGGTTGCATGGTTTAAGTCATAGGCAAAGAGATGGAGATGGTCTGGCTGTGAGGGCATAACAAGAGAAGCTTGTCCAGGACAGAGAGGAAGAAATGTATCCGGAGACTCAGTTGTCTTATCAAGAACAAGAGAAATGAATTCATAAAGGCAGGACAATTATAGGGCAAGTAATTTAATACTAAAGGTTACCGACACACTTGTTAAGCTTCCATTAAGTGTGCATATTTGAAGGTGGGTCATTCCTAGTTGGAGGTTAAATTTTATGATACATTAATGTATATTATAATTTGCATGTAATTAAAATAACATACACATGCTCATATATATTTTTAAAATGTTAAACTGAAATCCCTGTTATCCCCAGAGATTCTTCCTTTTACATCAAAAAGTAGAAATTGAAACTATCATTGGATTTATATATTTACCATGTTTTATCTATTTGCATAATTATCCCACTATATTAGATTTTTCACTGACTTTTTTTTTTTCAGTGTGGGGGGGACAAATAATAACAGTAGGGCCAGCAACCTCTTTAGGTCCCCAGGAGAAGTACACTTTTCCTTCTTTGTCCTTGTTTTAAATTCAGCCCTGTGTGCCTTTCTTTGGGACTTAGGTGATTGAGAGCTGCGAAATTCTTGTTGCTTCTGCTCCTAACCCTTCTTTATTTAGCCAAAATACCCTGAGCACCTGTTCTGTACCAGAGAGAGAACAGATCAGGGAGACTTACTCTGCGTTCTAGGGAGAGAATAGATCAGGGAGACTTATTCTAAAGGGGAGAAGCCAAAAATAAGAACTAACTGAATTTCAAATACTGCTGTCTTCTGTGGAGACATTAACACAGGTAGTGTGAAAGAGGACTGGCCTGGGGAATAGGAAGGCTATAGATTGAGAAACAGATTTCTTACAAAACTGAAATCTGGGTCAAGTTTTCCAAGCACCTCAAAAAGCAAGTGAAAAGGTCTAAAGGTAGAAAAAGCTGAGTATGATCAAGGGCAGAAGGAAGGCCAATGGAATTATACAATGGCATTAGTAAGGCTGAAATGATGCCAGAAATATAGGCAGGGCCAGATCATAAAATTGCCCATAGGCTGTAAGGAATTTGAATTTTACTCTAAATGCACTGAAAAGCCATGCTTTGTTGCTATTGTAGAGGTGTGCTTAGCTTAATCAAGGTTGTGATGTATTCTGATTTTTTTTCTTTAAAGATGGATTGGAGAAGGGCAAAAAGAGAAGCATGGAGATATATATGTTGGACACAACTGGTTGACTTAAGGACAGATGATAAAAGTTAGCATGAGGGGAGATAAAAATTGATCTAGGGGGAATAGCCTTTGAATGGGCCTCCACCGTCTAAAGACAATATAGGTGGTTGTTACCTACAGAATTTAGTTTCAGTGCTCACAGTAGTGTTCAATGAGGATTTCCTCTTTCCTTTGTAGATTGAAACTGGTTAAACAAAATATATCATTGGTCATTTATTGCTTGGACTAAATTTTCCCTTTGCAAATGCAATTGATTTTCTGAGGGATCCTATAGTAAGACATAAAAGTCAATTCAATAATCATAGCATCTCTTAAATATCATAGAAGCTTCCCTTCACTAGAAAAAAGCAGTTAGAGGGACAAGACAGACACATAGGAAGACTAGCATTACATGTTCTTAATCTACTGATTTGCAGAGACTACTTCAGTGGATTTTTCTGTATCTTTTCCATTGCAGCACATTTTAGCTACTGAGAAAATGTTTGTTGATAAATATTGCTGTATTTTCCAGCATTCTCATCTTAGTTTAATTATCTAATTCTCCCATGGATAAACCCATGTGGATTTTTCAAGAAGCCTACTTTTTGGATATTCAGCTTTTATGAAAAAGCACTAGATTATTTTTTCTGAAGATTAATCAAAGACTATGATATTTTTGTGGGACTGGCTTAAATTGAATTCCTGTGGGTTCCATCATATAATATTTGGCTGTCCTGCCATATTAAGCAAAGTATCACATGTTTTATGAGGCACAGCTTAAAGATGTATAAATTCAACAACGAGACATACAAACACCAGGCAAAAGGAGGGATTCAATCAGTGCGTGAAAGAGTATTTTTAAGCATCTGTTATGGGCAGACATACTAGGTACCTTGCAGAATATAAGGCCTTGGGAAGACTACATATAACATTTTTGACTACTTAAAAAAGTTTTAAAGGTAATGTTATATAAATTTTTGTAAATTGGTTGATACAGACTATTGCTAGAAGGGTTCAGATAAATTCCAGCAAGTCCAGCTGTGATTATAGCAGGGTCAGGTAGACTTGCCTAGAATTTATAGTGCTTCACCTGGATTCAAAATGAACTATATTGTTTTCCCAGAGAAGGATTACAAAGATGCATGACCAATGAGCCATCAGAATCAATACAACTGTTGGCTCATTCAGCTTATATCTTAGAGAAAGCAATGTGAGGACTCATGGACATCCCTGGAAGGAAAGCTTGAGTTCCAGTTGCTTTTGGGAATTTCTTTAGAACTAAAACATATATGAAGTCTATACCTGGACTTCTAGACAGAGAATGAAGAAACATCTGATTAACCCTCTGCTCCTTTATTTAGTGACAAAATTAAGTACATAAAACATCAACAAGTTGCTGCAAGGTGGAAGAACATCAAGTAAAAGCCAAAAGAGAGAGATACATTGAGTATTGTGTTTCTTTGTCAAAATTAATGGGTACTGAGAGTAATGGTTTACCTTTGTTTTCCTTCTCTTGTTAATCACTTAAAAATGGTTTTTAGTGACACAACGATTCAAGCATAGATGCAAAATATAAAAAGAGCATAAATTCAAATTGTGCTCTGATGAGTATGTTCAATAGTACACTTTTATTTTGAGTCTGGTATAAATTACCTTTCATTTTGGTGGCTTCTATAGTAGGGAATGTGGTGATGAGTAGGTCAGCTTTTTCTGTATGTGGATGAACATCTTTCATTCTATAAGCCTTTCACAGATTTTATTCAATTTTTTTTATTTGAAAGGAACACATATAACCTGGCACTTATTCAATTCTCTTTAAACAATAACGAAAAACTGCATATTGGTAAAATTTAAATAAAAGAATTATATCCTGATGAAAAGAAAGTATTTAATAATGTTTTGTTAATATGCTACAAAGAGAAGTATTATTTGCTATTTTAGAAAACAGTCCACACATTTCCTCTATTCCAAGCCAAAAGTAAATGTTTATTGGTATCACTATGTGGAATCGACTGGAAAGACTATAGTGGTTAACAAAGAACAACTCATTATGATTCATGACTTTATAAAAGCATGCACTACTGTAGGAGAATGTAAGCCCATAGAACAACAGAGACAGGCAAGAATACAGGGATATAATACAGATAATTTATCTTCACTCTTATATTACATTTTTTGGTTTTGCCCAAACAAAAGTGAAATAAAACTCCCCTTTAGGAGTGCCAAGTATATTAAAGGAGACATAAAAGGAAAAAAAAAAAAGATTTACAGAGATTGTCTAACTCTTAAGTGGTAGGAAATATACTCATTTTTGCTTATTGGACTCATATTTCAATAGTGAGAGTTATAGAACTTTGTGTTTTTAATCATTTTTTTCTAGAAAGAACTTGGTTTGTTTTTTAAATTATGTTTTTAGAATTATGGTATGCAATAGTTTAACTTCTCCTGAAAAGCAAGGATGTATTGCGTTGAACATTAATATGCTCCCTAATGAGTCAATATTGAATAATTGCTAAGTGGAATGAATCATGAAGAAAATAAACCTATTTTAGACTAGTAAACATGTTTAGCATTTAATATATGTTCACTGTTCCTTTTATTTCAACCAAGAACATACAAATTCCAGTACTAACCAAAATTTGCCTGAAGTCAACTGATACAATCTTGCTTTTTTGCTTTTTTTTGACTGCTCTAATACATTTCCTAGAGGAATATAGGGGAATATTCTCTTCTTCCTATAAGCTTTCCTTTCTAACTCTATTCATTCTTTGCTCAAGTATCTGGTGTAAAATAATTAATAATACTGGAACGTGTGGAACCACAGCATGCTAGTGCTGAGTGTGGTGATGAAAACTGTACCAAAGGGACTCTGTAAAGAGAATTGGATCCCCTAAATATAAGTGACTATCCACAGTTATGCATAAGCTGGTGGGCTCTCCCTAATGATATGACCACATGTGATTTGAATGGCATAGACTTGTGTAGGAGTTAAGAACTGGAGTAAATAATAGTAGTAGTAGCTAATATTTAGTGACTTTTTAATATGTGTTAAACATACAACCTACTATTTTATACATATATATATATACATATGCATATATATATTTTTATTTAATATAAATAATTTTACAGTGTATGTATTATTAACTCTCCAGCTGGAAAGTTGAATGTAGTTTCATTAAGTAACTTGCCCAAATTAACACAAGTGTTAAGTAGCAGAGACTGAATTCAAATCCAGGCCATGTAGCTGCAGAGCCAATACTGCTAACAATGATGTTATTCTTCCTTCACTGGTGAGGTCCTAAGCTCCTTCTATCCGTGAGAGTATAAACTATGATACATGTTTTCTCCTTCAAGAGTTCAACAAGGAGATATTTCATAACAACAAAAATATATATTTTGGGGAATATGTATTTATGTATGCAGGCCTGGAAACATATCTAGCTAATGATTAGGGTTTTGACAGTAGAGAAGAGATGGTATTACACATTATTTTAGTGATTTACTTTAGTTAGCATGGTTTAGTTTTTAATAACCACAATTAAGATGATTCACAATCACAGGCCAGGATATTCTTTGCTCAGAGAGGATTTGTATGTTTGTTAGTATCTGATGTGAATCAAAACAAATATAAAATGAAATAAATACTTAAAGGTAAATGTCTCTAAATTTAAAACTAGAAGTTCACTTTCCAACAGTGAGCATTGTCAAATTATAATGTCATATAATGACATTAGAGATTTAAAAAATATTTGCAAGCTATGGCTACAATAACATTTTCATTTATTGGTGCTTACGTAACATCCTCAGAGACTTTAAAAAACAATTTGCAAACAGCTTGGAAATGTTCTAACATTTCAGTAAGGTAAAAAGAAGTATATATACTCATTTGGAATATAGAGAAACCATAACCAAAAAAAAGATTAAGTAGTATGTTCAATATCAT